AAAACGGCACATTTGCATAACAGTAATTTCTTGTCTTTCTACTTGTCTGGAAACCTGTTTGAAACGATAATTTTTTTCATGGTAATTCGCTTTGATAATACTCGTATCTTTGACATCCCAATCGACGAAAATAATCATACTGTGGCGATATTTTTGGGGAAAATGCAAAGAAGTTTCGGAAACCACCCGGTAAAATGACGTCACTTGTTTACTGAGTCATCGTGAGAGGACAACAATTTAATATTATCACAAAAATAAACGCAAAGTATAATGAATACGTGGGATTAGGTCATAAGCCATGTTAGCGTGATAAAATAAATCCTAACAGAGCTCGACCCTGAAGTTCTATCCAGTCATCTGTCCTGCCGCGTCTGATTGGTCGCGTCTGATTGGTCGCGTCCGTTGAAAGTACAAACAATTGGTGGCACAGCACCGACCGCGTGAGATATCTGAACTACGAATATATTACACAAAATTATTTGTACTCAACAAAGATTCGATTCATGTAATATTAATGTTTTTGGACGACATTGTTGCTTCGTCCAAACCTCAGACAATTAGTATTATTAGTTTTCCGAGTCCGAACACATAAGGACTGTGGTCCAGAGCGTCATCGTGATCAGACTCGGAGCATCTTGGTCGTGATATGAACCAGCATCAGATAATTTTAGGTCGAAATGTACCTCTCCATTCATGCGATTTCTTTTTTTTTTTTGGCGAAACAGGTTTTCTGATTTTATGAGAAACTTGTTACGATATAAACCGACGGCAGCCATATTGTTGATGTTATGACTGAGTGGAGCATGCGCAGATCTATCAACGACAAGGAGGCAGTGATTTGCATAATCCTCATTCAATCTATGTTAATTAGTCTCGTCGTTAAGCCCGCAAAAAAAAAACAATGACGCGCGTATCTGTTTATCGTCGCATTATTATTAACATTCAGCACTTCTCTAAGTACTAATTAACTATTTTGTTTTAAAGACAACCTTGCAACATTTGAAAATAGGAAAAAAAGATATTCAATAATATACTATGAACCTGGGTCTCATCCTTAACTACAATAGGTATTTCATATATAACAACAAATAAGTAAAGATTTTGCCAATTTACCTTGGCTCAAGCAAACATAAATGAATATTTATATTTATTGTGACCCAAATCCTGCGTTATGGTATACAGCAACCAATTTCTCTCGGCGTGGTTTGTGTAGTTAGGGAGCTAAATAAAAATAGCTGCATGATGAACGATATTGATAACACGGTATTTTGGAATATTTTGTGGCCCCTTGGTTTAGATGAACCATTAAAAGTCATTAATGGTGCTATGTTAATTACTAATGGTAATTAATGGTTGATTATTATTCACCTGACATATGATGTCCAATGCACTACACAGCTTTCCCAAACTTGAAGTCATTGCCATCACAACTCTGAGCGAAGTGTGAAATATTTTATTTACACACACCAATATTCATCTCTTGTACAAACATCAACGTCACTGTAGATGCTCCTCGTCACACCAATGACAATGTAATGGTTGATGTTGCGTCGTGTCTGTTATACACGGATAACCCACAGTTGTCACCAAGCGGGACTTCAGAAAGTGGCGTTTGATAACTATCTGTCGCTTCCTCTTTTGCAGCGTGTTTACGTTCATGGGTTTGAGCAGCGAATGTCTCATCGTCAACATAGCGGCAAGGCAACGGCGTGGACTACGGTTATGACCTACCATTTGGTCTAGGATGGTTATAGGTTGATTTATCTCCATCAAATACCATTGAAAAACCTTGAAACAATTTGAACAGAAAATCAAGTGTTCGATGTTTGTAGTCAGTGGTGGACGCAAAAATCCAAATTGTCCCTCATGGGGCAATCAGTCAAAACGTGAGGTGTCATGTGTCATACGGGATTTTGGAAATAGGGCTAGGCACGTGGTTATCACACCCTTCTTAAAAAACATGTGGTTGTAAATCTTATTTACCTTTACCCTTTCCTAAGACCAGAAACACTTTTTAAACTGCACCGTAAAGTGTACATTTAAATTAACCAAAAAATGTCATCACATTACCTTTCAAATGCTTTCATGTTCACAGATGGGCTTAAATTAGCATTCCTATTGTAGTAAAGCCATGGCAATATCAGTCTGATAAAATACACTGATTTTTCATTATATTTGTAAACACATTTTCTTAAAATGGTTGCTTTTGTAACCCTAAATAAGTAACAAAATTTAACCGGAATGAAACACCCTTTTCATATAGTTTCCGCAGTAATGCATATGCTCATCCATCTTTGGGCCGAGTGTCCAGACTAAATACCGTAATTCACGTTTTGAAACAATACAACAAATTTATTTACATTTTCAGCAACAAAATGTATCACCATCAAAACAGACACGACAATCATAAGCATCATGTATTTATTGATTTATTGAGTTTTATTTCTGTAGTTCTCGTTGGCATTTTTATTTGGTTCTTCGTGCGGTTTGAAAAACTAAGGAAATTCATCTGCAGTCTGATGTATAGCATCTCATATTGCCGCAATGAGATGCTATACATCAGACTGTTTCATAGCATTTTAGCCCAAAATGTATGTTCTAATGTTTGTTTTGCGAACGCAATTCAAAACGCACAGAACGATGGACATTTAATCGATGGACACTCGGTCCAAATATGGATGGTCATGTGGGGGACAATTAAGAGTTTGTCAGTTGCGCCCACCACTGCCGTCTAACATATATCCCTTGATTTTCTGTTAAAATTGTTTCAAGATTTTTCAATGATATTTCGTGGAGATAAATCAACCTATAACCACCCTAGACCAAATGGTTGGTCATAACCACAATTCAAGCCGTTGCCCAGTCGCCATGTTGACGATGAGAATATGCTGCTCGATTAAAGTTGCATTGTCGAATAGGCTTAACGGCGAGTGTTCCAGAAATATTATTTGCGAAATACAGTATTGGTCTTAGCAATACTGTAATTATTTAAAGGAATATTGTTTGCCAACGAATGAAACAAAACAGAAAACTTTTTTTCAAAACAGATGATTGTGTAGCATAAGATGTTAGCACACGGAAATAACACCTGTGGTTGAAATGATAACAGCTGTGTACCAAATAAACAACTGATTGTCCCACGACGCGCAGCAACTGACACATCTTTTAGCTGGCGTGGAATATATTATTATATACTGTAAAATGGTTCCCATTGAGTAAGCTCACTGCTTCTAGAGTTGTAAAATAAGTAGTTTTTAAAAATCATTCTGATTCCGCCATCTTCAAATTGATGATTCGTCATTGTGACGGCAATGTAAATTTGAATCTCATAATCAGATGACCATTACTTGTACTTGTTTTATAACTTATGCTTTTCAAAGTCAACCCTGTTATTAATAGTTGATTATTATTCACGTGACATCTAATGTCTAATGCACTACACAGCTTTCCCAAACTTGAAGTCAGTGCCATCACAACTCTGAGGGAAGTGCCAGTGAATGTTTTGCTTTACACACACCAATATTCATCTCTTGTATCAACGTCACTGTAGATGACCCTCGTGATACCAATAGCAATATAATGGCCGATGACACGTAGTGTCTGTTATACACGGATAACCCATCGTTGTCACCAGTCGGGATTTCAGAAAGTGGCGTTTAATAGCTATCTGTCGCTTTTTCAGCGTGTTTACGTTCATACATTTTGTACTCGAGCAGCGAGTGTCTTACCGTCAACATAGCGACGGGGCAACTGCTTGGATTGTGGGTATGACCAACCATTTGGCCAAGGATGGTTATAGTTTGATTTATCTCCATCAAATACAATTGAACAATCTTGAAACAATTTAAACAGAAAATCAAGTGTTCGATGTTTGACGTCAGTGGCAGACGCAACTAACAAACTCCTAATTGTCCCCTATGGGGCACTCAGTAAAAACGTGAGGTGACATGTGTGTAACGGCATTTTGGAAATAGGGCTATTTTAAAAAAACATGTATAGGGCCTTTTTAAGACCATGTGGTTTTAAATCTTATTTATTCTTACCTTTTCCCCCCAAGCCCTGAAACATTTTTTAAACTGCACAGTAAAGTGTACGTTTAAATGATAACCAAAAATGTCATCACATTACCTTTCAAATGCAAAACTTTCATGTTTGATTTAAAAATGGGCCTAAATTTGCATTTCCCGTGATAGTAAAGTTATTCCAATATCACTCTGATAGAAGACACTTATATTTCATTATATTTGCTGAAAAATAGTTGTTTTTGTCACCCTGAACACACAACGCACTTTACATAACTCAGCCGAAATGAAACATCCTTTCCATGTGGTTTCAGCAATTCACACGAAACACGGAAATAACACCTGTGGTTGAAATGATAACAGCTGTGTACCAAATACACAACTGGTTGTCCCACGACGCGCTGCAACCGACACATCATCGTTAGCTGGCGTGGCATTTATTACTATTTACTGAAAAATGGTTTTTATTGAGTAATAAAATGTATACATTTTTATTGTCACACAAGCCCTAACAAGTACAGGAAAATTAGTAATACATTCAACAATAGATGTAATGAATCAGATGTGAATGTGAAATACTCAGTGTTTGTACCACTAACTTACTACTTTTCATATGCTATCCACAGTGTTTATATTTTCATGCTTGTATATAGTCTTTTTTGACTTGATAACATATCATATATGTCGGTATTTTCTTATATAAATGATAATGTTAAAGAAATTATTCACAACACTAAATGTAGTTTAGACCAGTCAGTTTAGCGTTAATTGTTATCCAGCACGCAAAGCATCACGGATAGCCATATCACATCACCAAGAGTTAGGTGAGCTCGCTTCGTTGGAGTTGCACAATCAGCATTTCCGTCATCAAACTGATGATTCATCATCGTGACGTAAATGTAGAACTTTTAATGTATGCATCTAAGAGGGTATATAACAGAGACTCTTTTAGATCACTGACAACTGTGACTGGTGCAGCCTATTATATCTGAGAATATCTTCCGTATCTGAAGTCATGCATCGTCTGATTCTTCTTTCCTTTGCGTTAATAGCTGTAATAGCTGCTACGTCCACTGCAGTACAGGTTAGTACATATGTATATAATTTCTCGCAAATGTCCAAATATGATCAAAGTTACGTTGTGGTATTTTCAAAACATTATCTCTTCATTTTCATAAAATGTATTTGTTTCAAACAACAGGCATCGCCAGTAATAGACAGGGATATAGAGAAAACTGGAGGTGAAACTCACGAACTCGCGAGACGTAAGTGCCCTCTTATGAAAATAATGTATGCCGAGGACCGTTCGACCGTTCACTTACTACTATATATTGATACAGTAGTAGTTTTTCGCTATCTGTAAACCAGAGTAACCTCGTGTCAACTCCACGTCCGACCAAGCATTCGATGTATATAAATATAAGAATTCGTAATATTGATGACCCTAAATATTTATCTAATAATCAGATGACCATTACTTTTATTTGTTTATAAGTTGCATCGATTCGATAGCATTGCAGTTACTTCTTGTTATCGAAGTCAACCCTGCTATTAATGGATCGTTATTGTTCATGTGCCTTGCCATCTAATGTACTACACAGCTTTCCTGAACTTGTCGGTATGGTCATTGCACTTTGAGCTAAGATCTAGTGTGAGATTGTTTATTACAAAATTGTGGTTATGGATTTTGGAAATATGGCTTAAGAATGGTTATGAATGCTAATATAATTTTGTTTGAAAAAAATGGGAAATAACTTTCAAGCAGAAATGATACGATCATTGCGGCATTACGAGGTGCTGTACTTCAGGTAGAATGCAACTTCATAAAAAAAAGTGTGGGTAACAAAAAAAAAGCGTAATGCTACCATCGTTGAATACATTGCGCGAACCGTTTCTACCCAAACTCCGACACAATCTCGCCAGCCTTCAAAATTGAACGACGAAAAGAATAAAAAAGTCTAGTTTTCCAATGACAATAACAAATATGAAGCCACGTTTCGCTTGATGCAATTCCGGTTTTGAATTATACATGGTTTTTATGATTGCGACATCTGATGTGGTGGTACTAATTTAAATGTAATTGTTTGTAATTTAAAAAAATGAATACTTGACCTACCGGTATCACACTGAGTTTCTTTAAAATATTGTTTTACTTGTTTTTCAGGAGCCAGATTAATATATAGTTTTGAGTATTAAAAGCTCACTACATCATTGAAATTATGTGCACAATAATATTATCTAAGACCATTCCAAATGTTTATTGGTCACACAACATATTTTTTAATGCAGGCGGTTTCAAAATCAAGATTCGCATATTCGGTATATGTGTAATAGAAATCGAAGTTGGTACAAAACGGTCATCGTATTACAGATCCACCGAGTTGGTGCTAACTGTCGAAAAATTTAACACTGGGGATATCGTGTGGAAAGGACCTGTTAACGTAGCTGATGGTGAGACAGAAGTTGAAGTAACTTCCTCTTTCCGACCAGATCCTAAAAGTGAATATATCGTTCTATATAACGATAATCATGGCTCTAGTGGTAGCGTGCCACTTGACTGTAAGTAAAACTCATATTGAAGGGATTGGTATTGCTTTCTGATTTTATTATTCATTGTCTGTTAATAAAATGAGAGTAGGCGGGACTATACAATTACATTTGACAAATACTAACTCCCACATTTTACATTGATACAGGTGGTTCAGTCACAAAAGACCCTCACGTAACCACATTTGACGGACTTAAGTATAACTTCAATGGAAACTGTTCATATACATTGACTAAGAGCTGTGATAGTGGTATCCACCCATCGTTTGAAATAACTGCCGATTTCCGTGCAAGAAACCGTAGCTACCCATACAAACCAGTGACATTCATGGTTGCGTTCAATGTGACTTCAAATGGAAGACAACTGATTCGAATCAATGAAGACGATACAGTGTTGGTAGGCTTCATGTAGTTACATATTGAATCCAGTCTAATTTTTATATTTTTGAAACTGTTTTCATACATATATATTTATATATATATATATATAAATTCATGACAATGGTTTTTAAAATGTGTTGTTTATATATATCATAGGAATTGGACGTGAATAATACTAAAGTCCATGCATTCACACCAATGCGTTGTTTAATTTATACAGATCCAAGGAAAGCTCGTAACGCCACCATCGGCAGAGATTGGCAATGGTGAAGGCTACGTCGACGTAGAACAAAATGGAATCAACATATATCTGAAGAAGCCTGCTTTATCTTTGACATGGGAGAGACGGATTCATGGTCTAAACATTGGATTCAATGACATTAACCTGCGTGGTAAAGTGTGTGGATTGCTTGGAAATGATGATGGTAATCCACACAATGACTTCACTCTTCCGAATGGACGACGAACGTTTCACTCCGAGGAGTTTGGAAATAGTTGGTTAATTCCTGACAGGTGAATACATGTTCATTTATGTATCGAAATCCTATTTACGGTTATTATAATGCAGGTATATATAATTATCATAATTATTTGTCATTTGTGTCCGTTTAGTAGTAGCCACAAAATAAAGAATTTTCATCCACTATTACAAAATCAGTATATTTGACAGTGAGTACTCTACAACTTACATGTTTGCCTTACATTTCAGCTGTCCCTAATATAAAGGTGCCATTGGTGATACATGACTGTGTAATTATGCTACTATGGTGCTTTATGGATTATATGATAACGGTCTACTTATAAGATTAAGTTTACACATTATGTCTTCGAATAAAAGAATTTAGTTTTAACTTATTTTAATTGGTCACGATTACTACATATTCTAATGTGTTGGTTCTTGAAATGATACCAACAAAAGCTTCTCACCTTACTGCATTGTACTTGTTTTGGTTCAGAATAAAACGGGTTGTATAATGGGACATTGTGTTACGTGTGTATATTGGAATCAGTGTGAACGTTATGAACAAATTAAAAACCTAAATTTCAGGTCAAGCAACAAATAGAACGTTACCGTGAAAATAAGTACCTTGTACCCCTAACAGCCTGCGGAAAATGTCATGTTCTGTTAAAACTTGGACATAAATCGATGATAATGATTGATATATGGAGGAGTTTCATATTTATATTAAAATGGTTCTCATTTTCCATGTTGCAAAATGGAAATAACCGTAAAAATCGCAATGGAAAAATAAAAAGCTCATGAACACAATAAAACTGTAGCCAAAGTACACATACAATACATTACAAAACATGGCCAAATAAGTGAAAGAATTATACATTGATATGTACCAAGTGGAGAGGTGTCTTGTGATCGATATTTCAGAACTTGAAAGTGTCGTAGATATACAATAAATGGTAGATACGTAACAGTGTTGATTGAGTAAATGTACGTTGAGACAGTGATAAATACATATGTAACTGTGGTTTATCGGTGTTTATAGCATGATATTTACTTTTTTAGAAACCATCTGATACATTTTTGGTAGAAATCTTTGTTTGAATTGGGTTACATATCGCTCACATAATGTGGGCACGTATTGCGCGTAGATATCTATCGCTGCATTACCTGTGGCTTGGCCAGTTATGGCCAGTGAAGGTGTTATATTGGTCTTGATTCTAAACGGTTTTTGGAAATTCTATTCAATCAGATCAGGCGTTTGTGTAACGTGATTGACCATATGGGCATGAATGTACTTTAAAGACTTAAGACACAACTCTCATGATTAAAAATTACTACCTGTCACTCGTGATCCCCATTCTAACGACATTAATGAGATGGGTCAAATTTCTGTTGATCTGCAGCGGCTCGGGAATCGATCGTGATTGGTTAATGTTAATGAGCTGCGCCATCTACGGCCAACCGGGTCAACGGTCTTTTAATCTTATTCTCCGAGAAGTTGCTTGTTGACCTCGTTCTTTGAGCGCAATGTATCGAGCTAAACTTTGCTCTTGGCGACTTTCTGTACTGTTTTGAGGGCTGCATAGGATTCAAGTTGAGAAGGTATTGGTGTGAGCTCTGAATAACGTGTGAAATCTATAATAAAGGCGGTCGATCGTAGCATGCACCGGCTGGTTTGTATTTTCCTGATCGTAGCATTGAACTCCAATATTGCAACATTTTAGTTGTAGCAGCGACAGCTACATCGGCGACTGACTAATTATTCGCCAATCATTGTCGCGTATGACTGATGACAGAAACACATTCAGGCTGTCGCACATTTTAATATTACGAAACATTTCAAGAACTCGTTTCTTACTAATAATAATAACTTTATTGTCTCCGCGTAAAAAGATTTTCATAAGAAAAGTACAGCGAGTTTTAAAATAATAACTGGATATATGTAAAAAATATTATAAAAAAAAACAAAAGAACTTAACTAGTAAATAAAGCTTTGTGTTGTGTAAATATAATTGTCAAGTTTTATAATTATGCCAGTATCTTTGCTTGAGAGTATATATGTGAACAGTATATTGTTATTTTTAATGAAAGTACTGTCATAATTTTTTATGATGAAGTTTTCCCTGCATGTGTTCATATTTTGGGCAATTCAATAGAAAATGTTCTTCATCTTCAAATGAATTCATGTCACAGTTATGCATATTCCTGTGTTCATATGTTTCATAGTTTCAT